GAAAAAATTAGGCAAATTTATATCCCCTGGAGCCTTCAAAAGGGACCATCCTGGCTGACAGAATCATCTTATCCCAGAGGAGATGACATTGGATCTTTGAACCTGAGAACTATAACATAGTTAATGCATGTTGATCAGTCATTGTATTGTGGTAATTTATTAAGGCAGTAATGGTACCTAATACAAATATTATTTATCTCAAAGGTTTATTAGAAAGAGTAAGTAAAAAAATATAAAATAGCAAAGGGAAAAAGCAGGGTAGGTAAATCAGAAGTTGAACTATGAGGAAGGAAGTGGTGAAGGGAAGATTATAAATTTTCGTGTAAGATACTAAGAGTAGCATCTGAGAAATTGTCATTCTGTTAGGATATAAGGCTGCCTAATGTACCACCCTTCTGTCAACACCTGATTAATATATATACATATATAAATATATATTTTTTAATTTTTTATTGTTGATGGAGTTTTATTTTTTATTTATATGAGGTGCTGAGAATTGAACCCAGTGTCTCACACATGCTAGGTAAGCACTGTATAACTGAGCAACAACTTCTTTACCAATTAAGAGTGTTAAAAATGGATACAATGTAGTTTTCATTTGCAATTTTATTTTTAATCTACCTCCATATATTTTTTGGTTGACAAGTAGTGATCATATGCACTGTGGGGGTATATTGTGAAACTATGATACATGTGTACATAGTCCAGTGATTAAATCAGGATAATTAACATGGTAATTGTCTCAAATACTTGTCCTTTATTTGTGGGCACGGTATTTAATATCTCTCTTTCAGGAATTTTKAAGTATGCAGCATTATTGGGAACACAGTCAACATGTTCTGCACTAGATCATTAGAACTCATTCCTCCTGTCTGCCTAAATCTTTGTACCTTTAACTACCTTCTTCTCTTTATGCATCCACTCACATTGTCACCCTTTCCTAAATTCTGGTAACCATTACTTATCACTATTATAAGAGATTGATTTTTTTTGTATTACAGATAAAAGTGAAACCATGTGATCTTAATTTGCTATGCTTGACTTATTTCACTTTACATAATTTCCCAAGGTTTTCTTTGATTTAATAGTGATATATCATAGTAACGAAKCACAAAAATGTTARAATACAGAGTGGTTAATGTGTTATAAGTSAATAGGAASCATGCATTTTTGACAGCTGAGGAAACTCTCTCCAATGGGGTTGGAYRTTCACTGGAATTCAAAGAAATAGRRTGGWGAGAAGCAGGTCAGAGAAGGCATGCCTAATAGAGAGAGAGGTGGAGCATGCCCCAAAGAGGAGATTCCAGATGACAGCACATCAGCAGGGAGACAGGCTGCTCTTCATCAAACAGGAATGAAGCAGAGCTTGTATGTGGGTGGCACAGAGACCAATCCATTGACAACTGGGGTGGTATCAAGATCYTTTGGGTCAACYACAGAYTTCAGATGAAARTTCTGTAAAATGGTGGTCAGGAATAAGAACAGTTCCATGCGGGCCAGACCTTCTCCTGCACAAATCCGTTTTCCTGAAAATATCCAAGAGAGAGAGTAAATACTCCTGGAACAGTATATTTTTGACTAGCAAAAGAAAAATGCAAAGTCATTATAGATGATGATTGAGTGGATGGATGGATGGATCAATGGATGGATCAATGGAAAAAGAGTAAATATAGGGCAGGGGTTGTAGTTCAATGGTAGAACATTTGCCTACCACATATGAGGCACTGTTTGATTCTCAGCACCACATAAAAATATTAATAAAATGAAGGTATTGTGTCCACTTACAAAAAATATTTTAAAAGACTAAATATAAAGGATGACTGATTAAACAGGAGGAACACACCTGTTGTCCACCTAATAATTTATCAACACTCTTCATTCTCTTAATATTAGTGACCATCAGCTCTATACCAAGAACTTTATTGATCATGTCCATATTAAAATTGTTCTTTTGACATTTCRTGTTTCCATAAAATCTATTCCCAGAAACACATGCTGATTACTTGTGTTCCCTGTTCCAAGTCTGATGTTCCAAAATCATCTTCCATTCATCAGATCTGAAGAACCTCATCAGTCTTAAACATGCAATGCAGTTTCAAGCTTTATCTCATGCTGCTGTTCCTTTGACTAGGATGCACTTCATACATCTCTCAGATCCTAGATCAACTGCTCTTTTTCTTTTGCACTTTTTGTGATTCCTCCAGGTTGTAGATTCTCATCTTCTTTGGCTTTACTCAGCAACGAAGCATAGATTATTTGAATTATTACTATTTTTCTAGCCTCCTGAAATAGGAGTTCCATTAAGGTAGGGCTCAGTTCTTGCTAGACCTACTAGCAAGCCTGAAGAGCCAAAGAATAAATTTAGGTTAATGATATGCCAGAGACTTCAGGTGTGAAGGACACTGTATTCCAAGGAGGAACTAGATGTAGGGAGATCAAGATGCTCTGGTGTTCTTAAAGGATAATCTACCCTACTCCCAAGGTTTGCTGGCCATCATTTACTAGTCACAAAACTCTGGCATCCTTCATGAAGAGCAAATATCCTAGTACTATGGTTCATTGTCTCCCTTAAAATGCCTGCCTCTCTTCAGTCCTTTTCCTTTGCCTCTTCTGAGGCAGTTTTAATGTCCTTTCTTCCATTTGAATGTCACTCAATCCATTTTATGCCTTACTGTGTGGTATGAGAGAACAGGCAGGAGGCATTTTCTTCCTCTACCACCATGTCCAGCTGATCCTTTCTTCTCTCTCCCACAGGACTAGTCATACTGGATTACAACAATCTATTTATTCATCTGCTTAGCAGAGTGTGGGATGGTTTGGGTGGCCCATTCTGTGCTTGGGTACTTATCATATGCAGAGCTCAGCAGAGGAATGAGAGGCACCACATGGAAGATACTTTCCAAGGTTATGGAGTTAGATACTTTTTGCAGGGCAGATGAGGACAGTGGAGATAAATTTAATCATCTAGGAAGGGTTCTGGGAGTGCAGTGTTGTATTTTGAGGCATGAACCAATCCACTCTCACTTAGCTTTATTACTTTGGAAGATCTAGGTCAATTTTCCCCAAAACCCCAGTAATCAGTCCCAGTAATGATGCTTAGCCTGGTCTTTCACAGTATGTGGGTACTGGGAGTTTTGTTCCTGATCATGTGCAAAGAACATTTCTACCAGCYCACAAATAAGCAGTTTAACTCATCCCATTACGGTTTTTTATCCCCTGAAGCAGCAATAGAAATACATTTCTATTACCTGTTGAGAAAGGCATGAAGTAGTCACTCTTCTTGAATTTGCCACTCTCATCCAGGAAATGGCCAGGGTCAAACTTCTCTGGGTTGGGGAATTCTTTGCTGTCATGCAGCACAGATGTCAATGATGTTATTATGGTTGTGCCCTGAAATGAACAGACACATATAAACCAAGTTGTAGAGTCATGGAGCTGGAGGAAATGTTGGAATTTACTGAGTCCAAATGGTATGAGAAGAGACCCTTGTTCAAAGAAGAACTTTGAACATTCATACTTCCAGGTAGACAATGAAGTAATAAAATGCATGAGTTTAAGGCCAGTGTCTATGACCTTGCTAAAGTGCCCCCAGTGGCATTTGAAGTAGTGAGTACTTGAGCACCAAACCTTCTGTTCTACTTATCATCAAGCTTTGGCACTCGTCTTTGCCCCTACTCAGTAGTGTATTTTGTCACTTCACTTCTCCCACATCTTGTATAGAATTCTGCTTTAAAATGGGTCTTTTTGGCTCTTGAAATGGCCTGGATATTGTTTATAAGACAATTCTGAGATAATAAAAAATACAACAACAGCAAACTAAATGTTTAAAATGGTCACACAATTTGATTCTCCTTATAATTGTGGGGGTTTTACCACAATTATTTTGGGGGTTTTCACCCCCCCAATGCAAAAGCAATGCTAAATTTAAAATAAGCATCATTTTCAAAAATTTTGTGAAGATAATAAATTAAGGCTAAAGTTTTTTAAGTATTCCATTTTTGTTTTAATGAGTATGTGAAGATGTTTATTTTTCCCCCATTTTTTGGTACATTAAAATTACACATATAGTGGTATCTTTGTTTTACATTTAGACTTGCACATGATTTAACAGTATAATTTGGTCAGTATCCTTTCCTAGTACTTCTCCTTTTCCTCACCTCTAAACTCTCCTTTGGTTTCTGTTGTCTTCTCCACTGACTTTCATCAATTATAATGAGATCTCCTATAGATTTTTTTTCCTTTTTGTTTTTCTAACATCTACAGATAGTAGGAAACAATGTCCCTTGACTTTCTGAGTTTCWTATTTTGCTTAACATAATGCTGTCAGCTTCTGTGTTTTCCTGAAAATGACATAATTACATTTTTTATGGATAAATAAAACTCTACTGTGCATATGTATCACATATTCTTTATTCATTCATCTGTTGATGGATATTTAAGCTGGAGCTTATATTGACTATTGTGAATTATACATGGCTATGCATGTATCACTTTAGTATGCTGACTTTAATTCTTAAAAAAAAAATGCCAAGGAGGGGTGTAGGGGGTCATGTGGTGGTTCCTGAATATACAAATATTTCCCGAGGATATAAAGACAGATATGTCTTCAAAAAGTTGTGTTAGAAGAACTGGGCACTTTTCCTAGAGAAACTGATAGGCTGGGCATGGTGGCATGTGCTTGTAGCCCCATCTGGTATGGAGCCTAAGGCATTATGATTGTTTGAACCCAGAGGTTTGAAGTGAGCCTGGGAAACAGAGAATTATTGTCTCAAGAAAATGAAAAGAAGTCAAAGGAATGAATTTCATGACCATTATTTTATACCACCAATAATTAACCTGAAATAAATCACCAACTTAATTGCAGGAGCTAAAATGTTTAATTCTAGAAAAAAAAATTAAGGGCATATTGTGCAATCTTGTGCTAGCAAATATTTTTTTTACATAGGAAATAAAGCACAAATTGTAAAAGAAAAAAATGATTATATAAGTTTAGCATAAAGTTAAAAATCATGCAATAATCTCAGTCTTAGGTATTTACTCAATAGAAAAGGAAATATATTCCACCTCAACATTTTTACACAAATGTTCATATTGATTATATTTAAAAAACAAAGCTAGAAACAACCAAAATTTTCCATCTCCTTATGTGTGAAAAAAAAAAACATTCATGGTATTCATTGTAGTGGAATAGTAATCAGTACTAAAGGGAATGAACTACTAATACWTGTAAATGAAAATGAATCTTAAACATGTCCTGCTACATTTAAAAAATAACAGAGATGCATGAAAATATATGGGACACCAGTAGTGTGTAGAGGGTACCAGGGGAAGGGGGAGGGGAGGGCACAGGAAGGTACTGGGGAATGAAAATGTTGTTATTGTTATGTGCATGAATTGTAATTGTTATGAATCAGCCACAATGAAACATTCTGTTACTTATAATTATTATAGGGCTGGGGATGTGGCTCAAGCGGCAGCGAGCTCGCCTGGCTTGCGTGCAGCCCGGGTTCAATCCTCAGCACCACATACAAACAAAGATGTTGTGTCCGCCGAAAACTAAAAAAATAAATAAATATTTAAAAAATTCTCTCTCTCTCTCTCTCTCTCTCTCTCTCTCTCTCTCTCTTTAAAATAAATAAATAATTATTATACACCAATAAATATTTTAAAAAATAAACTTGGTTCTATATAAGAAGATTATTGGAGAAAGAATATTTGAAGGTAAAACTGCCAGAGATAAAAGATTTGGTTCTGTATTGTTCTATGTCATATTCTATCATATGACTTTCATGATAAATCAAAACCATAGGTACAGAAAGTAGATCTGTGGTCACCAGGGACTGGAAGTGAGGAAGTATGCTTGGTTGTGATAGGAGGATGAAGGAACTTTATGTGGTGATGGACATATAATATACAAATTATATACATGGGCACAATATTTCACTRTGCTGCTTAGGCTGATTTCAATATTGTGGGCACAAGCAATCCTCCTGCCTCATCCTCCTGAGTGGATGAGCCTACGGTTATACATCATCATGCTCAGCAAAATAAAAATCTTATACCTTAACTGTTGTGTGGTTACATCATTACATATATTTGTCACAACTCATTGAATTGTACGCATAAGAGAGTCAGTTGTAGAGTGGGGATGTATCACAATGGTAGAATGCTTGCTTTGCATGCACAAGACCCTGGGTTTAATGACCAGTGTTAAAAAAAAGAGGGAATTTACAATACATTGCTTAAAACGTCATTAAAAATAGAATACACTGAAGAATATTCCATTGTGTATATATACCACATTTTCTTTATCCACTCTCTGCTGAAGAGCACCCAAAATAAAATTACTGTCATTTATAACTATGAATTAAAAAAGTAGAGCAAAGCATTGTATCAAAATGAATTTATGGTGAAAAGTAATTATCCCTCTCACTTTACCACAGAACMTAATTTGGACTTTTCAGAAACAACTGTGCCACCAATTAGTAATATGTTCCTTCATAATTATTCTATGCATGTAAGACAAATCTGTATGAAACAGGTCTATGCAACTTCTTAGTTTGCGGTTTTTTTCACTCAAATTTCAGATATTTCACAACATTTTCATTTTGTATTTAATAAAAAAAATTAGGGATATTGACATATAAACCACAGGATACATGCTAAATAATATGAATGTACTATTACACTGCTGATAGGCTTTGGGAAATTTACAAAATTTCTTTGTGACAAGCAACTATGTAGTGAGAACATATTGGACTTTCCTGTTTGCATATTTAGTATATATATATATATATATATATTTAGAATTTCCACATCACAATATATGCATTTTATATTTTCTTTTCATTTTTTGAAAAAAATGTTTTTATTTTTTTAGCTATAGTTGGCTACAATACCTTTACTTTATTTATTTATTTTTATGTGGTGCTGAGGATCGAACCCAGAGCCTCTCATGTTCTAGGTTAGTGTTCTACTGCTGAGCCACAACCCCAGCCTCTCTTTTCATTTTTTAATAGGTACCAGAGATGGAAATGAAGGGTTCTTAACAACTGAACCACATCCCAGCCTTAGCTCTTTTTATYTTTTATTATTTGAGACAGAATCTTGCTAAGTTGCTAGAGCATCACTAAGCTGTTGAGGCTGACCTTGAATTTGCAATCTTCCTGCCTCARCCTCCTGAACWGCTGTGATTACAGGTGTAAGCCACTGTGCCTGATTTACATTTTTATTTTAATACATACTGCCATATTGTTCATAAAAATGGATGTACCAGTTAAGAATCCTGCCAACAGCACATGAAAGTGATAATTTATACAAAACTTCATCAACACAATGTTTTTTCACCCTTTAACTGCATCAGTGATGTGGGCAAAAATGATATCTCCTAGTATTAGCTTTTATTTTGCAGATATTACCTGGTTGAATTCTTACAGCAAATAATGTATCATAATGAAGCAAATAATGCATTATCAACAGTGTGCCAATGAGAAAGCCAAGACTCAAAGGGATCTGATATCGACCCAAGATGACAGCTAAGACTTGCAGAGCTAGAGTTCATACTGAAGTCCTCAGTACGCTTGGGTAAGATAAATTATTAGATTAAGGTAACTTGCATTTCTAAGGAGCTGTCTCACTTTTCTTTTCTTTTTGGATGCAGTTGACAGAAGGAAGTACCCAATTCATTTAGAAGAGACAAAGTGGAAATACTCTTTCACACAAGTGACACTTCTTTAACACTTTTACTTATGTATTCAATTGTGATCTTGATTCTGCATTTTCCTGGCTGAGAAATAAGAACTCCCCAATACAAAAGAGGCATACTCTTAACACACTAATTATCATTGATCCTTATATATCTCAGAGGAAGTGTCATCCTTCTCAAAATTGTTTCATAAACTGCTTCAAAATTATGTGTGCATGGGATGTGTGTGGAGACAGCAGTTTTATTGTCTCCTACCTTTCTGATTCAGTTCTTAAGTATGAACATCTGCCTTAGAGGTGAAATTGCTCCTATTAACATTTTAAAAAGACATTATGATATATGAACTACAGATATTCATAATACTCCCAATGGGATAATGTAGGATAAGATCATACAATCAAATACATKAATATTTTTAGCAAAATAAATGATTATTTTTTAAAAAGTGGAATAAAAGAATATAATTGATTAACTGAAATTCAAATCAGTTTTGGCTCAGTGAGACAGCACTAAAATGTGTATATGTATATATATATAT